AATATTATAAATAATAATACTAATACCAATAATAATAATAATAATAATAATAGCAATATTAATAATCATAATAATGATAGAAATATTATTAATAATAATCATCATCATCATAATAGAAATATTAATAATAATAATAATAATAATAATAATATAAATATTATTATTATTAATAATAATAATGGCTCTAATAATAAAATAATAATAATAATAATAATAATAATCTATATTAATAAATAATAATAATCATAGAAATATTATTAATAATAATAATCATCATCATCATCATCATAATAGCAATATTAATAATAATAATAGCAACAACAACAACAATAATAATAATAATAGCAATATTATTAATACAAATAATACAAATACTACAAATAATAATAATATTATTATTATTATTATTATTATTATTATTTATAATATTACTAACAGCAATAGTAATGATAATAATAATAATAGCAATATTATTATTATTAATAATAATGGCTATAATAACAACAACAATAATAATAATAATAATAATAATAATAATAATAGCAATATTATAAATAATAATACTAATACCAATAATAATAATAATAATAATAATAATAATAGCAATATTATAAATAATACTAATACTAATAATAATAATAATAATAATAGCAATATTAATAATCATAAAAATGATAGAAATATTATTAATAATCATCATCATCATCATAATAGAAATATTAATAATAATAATAATAGCAACAACAATAATAATAATAGCAATATTATTAATACAAATAATACAAATAATACAAATAATAATATTATTATTATTATTAATAATAATATTACTAACAGCAATATTAATATTAATAATAATAATAATAGCAATAATAATAATAATAATAATAATAATAGCAATATTATTATTATTATTATTATTAATAATAATAATAGTAATAATAATGGCTATGATAACAATAATAATAATGGCTATAATAATAATAATAGCAATAATAATAATAATAATAATAATAATAATAATAATAATAATAATAATAGCTATATTAATAATCACAATAATGATAGAAATATTATTAATTATAATATTCATTATAATAATAGCAATATTAATAATAATAATAATAATAATAATAGTAATAATAGCAATATTATAAATAATAATAATAATATCAATAATAATAATAATAATAATAATAGCAATATTATAAATAATAATAATAATACCAATAATAATAATAATAATAATAATAATAGAAATTTAAGGGGTTTACAGAAAGAAGGTTGCTGGTTTGAGTCCCAGCTGGGTTAGTTCTGTGTGGAGTTTGCATGTTCTTCCTGTGTTGGCATGGGTTTCCTCCGGGTGCTCCGGTTTCCCCCACAGTCCAAACACTTGCGCTATAGGGGAATTGATTAACTAAATTGGCCGTAGTGTATAAAGGTGAATAAGTGTGTATGGGTGGTTCCCAGTGCTGGGTTGCAGCTGAAAGGGCACCCGCTGTGCAAAACATATGCTGGATAAGTTGTCAGTTCATTCCCCTGTGGTGACTTTAGATAAATAAGGGGCTAAGCTGAAAAGAAAAGGCATGAATGAATAAATAACAGCGAATGAACTCTAAATAAGAGCTTCTCCTTTTTTCACATTACACTTCTATTGATTTTCATTCCTGTTATACAGTCATACAGTTGTACTGTAAATGTGTTAAAAATAAATACGCAAACATTACAGTCAATGCAAAAAACAATCTGTCAATTAAATTAAACTTATTTTGCATTACGATAAAGAAAATGAGATTATTAACAGAGGGAAATCTGCTGAACTCTCATCAAAATAATGTCACAGCATCTTTATCTCCTTTACAAATAAGATTATTAAATGATCCTTCGGCTCAGTCCCTGTGTTCATCAGGGGTCGCCACAGCGGAATGAACCGCCAACTATTCCAGAATATGTTTTACACAGCGGATGCCCTTCCACCTGCAACCCAGTACTGCGAAACACTCATAAACACACATATACACGGCTAATTTAGTTCATCAATCCCCCTATAGCGCATGTGTTTGGACTGTGTGTTTGGACCGGAGCACCCAGAGAAAACCCATGCCAACAAGGGGAGAACATTCAAACTCCACACTGAAATGCAAACTGACCCAGCCGGGACTCAAACCAGCGACCTTCTTGCTGTGAGGCGACAGTGTAAACCCCTGAGCCACCATGTCGCCCACAAATAAGATAATAAAAACACAAATGAATCAATAGATGAATATGAATCTTAATCCAGTGTATTATCAATCATATAAGCACTCATAACCTACAACCCAACAGATTAAACCCAAGTCAAAATGCAATGTGATATTTCCAGACTCCTTATGTCTAATATACTCAGTTTGACGTGTATTTCAATGCAGTAAACTAAAGATGGCACTATAAGCATTTTAATTCATCACATCTGTTGTTAAACAATGCATTATAAGGTGATTTGAAAGCATAATTAATGCATAATAAGCCTTCATAATGCACCCCATAGAGGCCAGAAGTGTGCATATGACTGAATAACAGATCTCCTGTTATTATTATTCTGATTCTGTGTGTTGAAACGTGACCCGAGCATCTGCTTGACAGGTTTGGTGATTCGATTGGCCCAGAAAAGAGACAGTAGAAGAGGCTGGGCTGCCATTTCCACTGACTCTCTGCTTTTGTCCACATGCATCTTCCTCTTCTTCTGTATCTCTCTGTCTGACTCTCAGGGTTCCTCTATAGCAGGGGTCTCTAACTCAACTTGGCGGGGGGCCATTACATTCATTTTCCTTTTTGGCTTTTTTAGTCCCTTTATTAAGCTTGGGTCGCCACAGCGGAATGAACCGCCAACTATTCCAGCAAATGTTTTACACAGCGGATGACCTTCCCGCTGCAAGCCAGTACTGAGAAACACCCATACACACTCATTAATACACATGCACTATAGCCAATTTAGTTTATTTAATCCACCTAAAGCGCATGTGTTTGGACTGTGAGGGAAACCAGAGCACCCATAGGAAACCCACACCAACACGGGGAGACCACACAAAAATGCCAACTGACTCAGCTAAGACTCAAACCAGCAACCTTCTTGCTGTGAAGTGACAGTGCTAACCACTGAGCCACTGCGTCACCCTGCCCATTATTATTTTTTTTTTATTATTATTATTGTAACTATGTGTAGCCTTCAAGATATCGCTCATAAAATTACACTTACCTTGCTAAGGAGATCACAAATTG